CTAAAGTTACTGTGTATCATTCTCCTGCATCTTTTAATACTTTTTTTGGCTGTGTACATGGATATATATTTTTTCCATTAAAAAACCAAAAAAAAAAAAAAAAAAGGAATATATGTGTATATATATATGATATTGAGAGACATAGAATATATTGAGAGATATAGAATATTCTAGGCAAAAAAAAGGGAATATATATATATACACACACACACATATATATATATCCCCCTAGATATAGAATATTCTAGGCAAAAAGAATTTGCAAAGGCATATAAGCCAAACAATGGGGCCGGGCGCCGTGGCTCATGCCTGTAATCCTATCACTTTGGGAAGCTGAGACGGATGGATCACCTGAGGTCAAGAGTTCGACACCAGCCTGGCCAACATGGTAAAACCTCATCTCTACTAAAAATACAAAAATTAGCCAGGCATGGTGGCAGGTGCCTATAATCCCTGCTACTCAGGAGGCTGAGGCAGGAGAATCGCTGGAACCCGGGAGGCAGAGGTTGCAGTGAGCGGAGATTGCACCACTGCACTCCAGCCTGGACTTCAGAGACAGAATATGTCTCAAAAAAAAAAAGAAAAAGAAAGCTGAAAAATGGAAGACTTATTCAAGTTATAGCAAGTGATAAGGCCTGGCTGCTTGAAGCATGAAATGTAAGAAGAGTTGGAAAAGATCAATTGGCTTATAATGTAGAGGGCCTTAATATATAGAGTGTTAAACTTAGAAGTGTTGACCACTGAAAGATCCTGTGTGTTTCCTTGTTTTTTAAGCTTAAAAGAAATATGATCAAAGCTGTGCTGTTATTTCTTTTGGAGACAGAGTCTTGTTCTGTCCTCCATTCTAGGGTGCAGTGGCATGATCTCAGCTAACTGCAACCTCCACCTCCCACATTCACGTGAATCTTGTGTCTCAGCCTCCCAAGTAACTGGGATTACAGGTGCACACCACCATGCCCAGCTAATTTTTATACTTTTATTTATTTATTTGAGATGAAGTCTTGCCCTGTTGCCCAGGCTGGAGTGCCATAGCATGATCTCGGCTCACTGCAACCACTGCCTCCCAGATTCAAGCAATTCTCCTGCCTCAGCTTCCTGAGTAGCTGGGACTACAGGCACCTGCCACCATGCCTGATTTTTGTATTTTTAGTAGAGACAGGGTTTCACCATGTTGGTCAGCCTGGTCTCGAACTTATGACCTCAGGTGATCCACCCGCCTAAGCCTCTCAAGGTGCTGGGATTACAGGCGTGAGCCACTGTGCCCAGCCATATTTTTGTGTTTTTAGTAGAGACAGGTTTTACCACATTGGGCAGGCTGGTCTCTCTGACCTCAGGTGATCCACCTGCTTTGACCTTCCAAAGTACTGGCATTGCAGGCGTGAGCCACCGCACCTGGCCAAAGCTATGCTTTTTGATCAGGCTAGTTCTTTAGCTAGTGTTATTATTCTGTAGCTAGTGTTTAGGGTAGATTGGGGGAGGGAGAAAGAAAATTGCAGAAACCAGTTTGCATATTTAGGCCAGATAAAAAGTAATGAGGACAGTGGCAATGAAAATGGAAAAGAAAGGCCGGGCACAGTGGCTCATGCCTGTAATCCCAGCACTTTGGAAGGCTGAGGTGGGCAGGTCACCTGAGGTCAGGAGTTCTAGACCAGCCTGACCAACATGGAGAAACCCCATCTCTACTAAAAATACACAGTTAGCCATGCAAGGTGGTACATGCCTGTAATCCCAGCTACTCAGGAGGCTGAGGCAGAAGAATCACTTGAACCCAGGAGGCAGAGATTGCATTGAGCCAAGATGGCGCCATTGCATCCAGCCTAGGCAACAAGAACAAAACTCTGTCAAAAAAAAAAAAAATGAAAATGGAAAACAGGTGATATGAGTGACATTGTGGAGGCACATTGTTTAAGGGTTTTTCCCTTCCCTTCAGGTGTTTCTTAGAATCACTTAGGAGTTTGAGTGCTTTCTGGGGGGAAAAAAGGGGAGCTGTAAAAGCAAGGGAATGTCTAAAAGCATATTTTATATTCATAATAGTATTTTTAACATTTTTTGTTTTAATGTTTTTCTTTTTTGCTTCCCTTATTTTAAATAACATTGAATAAAAGAGCATCTGCTTTATGCCCTTATTGATGGTATGTCTTGCTTCCTGCAGGATAGCATTGAAGCTGAACTTACAAGGAGAGTAGACATGATGGAGCTGTGACAAGAGCCAAGTAAACATCCTTTTTCTCTAACAGAAAATTGAATAAGACTTTACGGAGTTCTTTTTCCTCTTGGCACTTCTTAACAAGAAAATTTTCCGTGTTCTTAGATTACAGAATGTCATAATTGATAGAATATGGTTTCTTACTGTGTATTGCATTTTTGGGCTCAGATACATAGTTTTCATATTAAAAAAAGTTTTCTCTTACTTTCTTTCTGTGTGGTTGATGGTTGAGAATCCTTCAGTAGCTCTATGAGGCAAACATCACAACAGATGGTTGAGAATCCTTCAGTAGCTCTATGAGGCAAACATCACAACAGTTGTTGTGCATGAGTTCATTAGGTCAGCTAGAGTGAAAGCAAAGTTTCCACAGCTCCGCCGTGTTTCTCCCACGCTCTTCTTTCTCCAGGGGTTTGCTGTCATTTTTTTTTGATCAGCTCACCTGCCTGCCTCCAAATGTTAATATATGCAGGAATTTCATTTATGAAAAAGATGACCTTTTAAATCAGTAGTAGAAAGATGGATAATTCAACACTTCGCGTTAGGTCCATACGTCATACTTTATGTCAGGATAATCCAAAGAATCAAATATTTAGATATAAAGAAATTTAAAAATAAAGGTACTAGAAGAAATTGAAGGGAAGTTTTAATGTTTTTGCTTTTTTTTTTTTTTTTTTGAGACGGAGTCTCGCTCTGTCACCCGTCCTGTAGTGCAACGGCTTGATCTCAGCTCACTGCAACCTCTGCCTCCCGGGTTCAAGCCATTCTCCTGCCTCAGCCTCCCGAGTTACTGGGACTACAGGTGCCCGACACCATACCGGCTAATTTTTGTATTTTTAGTAGAGATGGGGTTTCACCATATTGGCCAGGCTGGTCTCAAACTCCTGACCTCATGATCCACCTGCCTCAGCCTCCCAAAGTGCTGGGATTACAGACGTGAGCCACCACACCCAGCCTAATGTTTTGGCTGGCCTCAATTCTCTACTAAAAATTTACCAGGCTGGCCTCAAAATCCTGGGCTCTAGCAATTCTCCCACCTCAGCCTCTTGAGTACCTGTCACCACAGGTACATTCCACTGCACCCAGCCTAATGTTTGCTTTTTAAATAATTATGAGTTGGAAATGTATGACCAGAACCCAGGTGCCATAAATAAGTCCTTGAAATATTTAAATATTTGTTTTGTTTTGTTTTGTTTTGAGACAGGGTCTTGCTCTGTCACCCAGGCTGGAGTGCAATGGTGAGATCTTGGCTCACTGCAGCCTCCACCTCCTGGGTTCACGTAATTCTCGTGCCTCAGCCTCCCAAGTACCTGGGACTGCAGGCGTGCATCACCACACCTGGCTAATTTTTGTATTTTTAGTAGAGACAGGGTTTCACTATGTTGGCCAGGCTGGTCTCGAATTCCTGACCTTAAGTGGTCCTCCTGTCTTGGCTTCCCAAAGTGCTGGGATTATAGGCATGAGCCACTGCACCTGGCCTATTTAAATATTTTGAAATAATAAAAATGCCTGCATGGCAAAATCTGTTGTAAGTAAAATCAGAGGACATGACAAATGCAGTACAGGAGATTTTTCACTGTACCTTTTTGTGCCATTTAAAGTTTTGTACCATGCAATTTTAAAACAATCAGCTTTAAAAAAGTTATCTCAATGTTTTTAAAGTTTCCTTCTTCTTTCCTTTTCCTTGCTTCCAGCCAGAAAAAGACATTTGTATTTTCTTTTGGAAACAGTCCATATCCTTTTGCCATTTATGTATTAGCTTTTGATCTTTTTGTTAACAATTTATAGAAGCTCCTTATGTATTAGCTAAATTAGTCTTTTGTGATTTGACCTGCAAATATTTTTCCAAGTTTGTCATTTGACTTACTTGCAGTGTGCTCTTCATAAGGCAATTTGATAGATTGAGTGTGGAAATGACCACAATAATTCTCATCCCTGTGCACTCACCCCTTTGTGACATGACTTGGCTGTTTCTCCCATCAAAGGAGAGTCTACCTGCTGTATCTGGCTTGGCCCTATGACTTGTTTTAGCCAGTGAGACAACAGCAGATGTGACAAAAGCAAAGGAATATAAACTATGCATTGGGGCTTGATCTCTTTTACTGCCCTTTGGAATTCTGAAACCACCATTGAAAGAAGCCTGGACAGGTCTATTGGAAGATAAGAAACCACATGAACGGTGCAGTGACTCATGTCTGTAATCCTAGCACTTTGGGAGACTGAGGTGGGCCTATTATTTGAGGTCAGGAGTTCAACACCAGTCTGGGCAACATGGTGAAACCCCATCTCTACTAAAAATACAAAAATTAGCTGGGCCTGATGGGGGGTGCCTGTAATTCCAGCTACTCAGGAGGCTGAGGTGGAGTTGCAGTGAGCCGAATTTGCGCCATTGAACTCTAGCCTGGGTGACAGAGTGAGACTCCGTCTCAAAAAAAAAAAAAAAAGATTTTAAAGAACGTAACTTTTCTATTTTAAGTATCTAACAGTTGTCTCCATTGAGAGCGAGTTTGTCTATTTATCTTTGAAGCTCTTTATTCAATAACATTATTTAAAGTATCCTAATGTTAATGCTTTGTTGTGTTTTATTTCAGAAATGGACAGTATTTGTTGCATTTTGAATGTTTCTATTACTCTGTGAATGTGTTCTTTTCCCCCAGAAACTGGCAAAATTAAAACAGGAGACTATACCTTTGAAGAAAAAATTGGAGTCCTATTTAGACTTAATGCCGGTAATAATTTTCATGAATTAAAAAAAGACTATTTCCTCCAACCTCACCTAAGGATACTATATGACCATGAAAGTAGTGTGTTTAGGCCAGGCACGGTGGCTCACGCCTGTAATCCCAGCACTTTGGGAGGCTGAGGCACGCTGATCACCCGAATTTGAAACCAGCCTGGCTAACATGGTGAAACCCCGTCTCTACTAAAAATACAAAAATTAGCCAGATGCAGTGGCGCATCTGTAGTCCCAGCTACCTGGGAGGCTGAGGATGGAGAATCACTTGAACCTGGGAGGCGGAGGTTGCAGTGAGCCAAGATCACGCCACCAAACTCCAGCCTGGGNTGGATAAATGTGCAAAGAAAAGTGCACGAAACAGGCCAGGTGTGGTGGTTCATGCCTGCAATCACAGCACTTTGAGTGGGCAGATCACGAGGTCAAGAGATCAAGACCATCCTAGCCAACATGAAGGAGGGAAGGAAGGAAGAAAAGGAGGGAGGGAGGGAGGAAGGAAGTATACAAAACAAGGCTGGTCGCGGTGGCTCATGCCTGTAATCCCAGCACTTTGGGAGGCCAATGTGGGCAGATAACCAACAGGAATTAAGGCTGGGCATGGTGGCTCACAACTGTAATCCTAGCACTTTAGGTGACTGAGGAGGTTGGATCACCTGAGGTCAGGAATTTGAGACCAGCCTGGCCAACATGGCAAAACCCTGTCTCTACTAAAAATACAAAAATTAGCCTGGCGTGGTGGTGCATGCCTATAGTCCTTGGGAGCCTTGGGAGGCTGAGGCAGGAGAATCACCTGAACTCAGGAGGTGGAGGTTGCAGTGAGCTGAAATTGCACAACTTGGACAATAGAGCAAAACTCTGTCTCAAAAACAAAAAAGAAACTACGTGAAGCAGAGACAATAATTGTAACTGAACCTTGCCCCCAACCCTTAAGACCAAACTGGCTGCCAATTGCTAGATATGTGAATGAGGGTCTTAGACTATCTAGCTCCAATTGAGCCACCAGCAAACTGCAGAGATCAACCACGCAAGCTCAAGCCAGAAGTTCAACTGATTTGGAACATTAATTATATTTTAAAATTCCCTTTTACAGCAACACCTAATGCATGATTGAGTAATTGGGAGAAGGTGCGTGTATGCTACAAAGTGTCTGCTGCTGTCTTTCCTCTCTCTAAGCCTCATGAATCTCCCATGTAACTCATTCTAACTGGAAACATGCTAGGAAGGGAAATCTACAAACTGGAGTTTACCCAAGTTGACACATCACAAAGCCATTTCACATAGATTCAAAGGGTCTGTCAAATTCTAAGCTGGATAAATGTGCAAAGAAAAGTGCACGAAACAGGCCAGGTGTGGTGGTTCATGCCTGCAATCACAGCACTTTGAGTGGGCAGATCACGAGGTCA